AACCCATTAAAATTCTAGGAAAAATAAATTACCCCAACGTTAAAAATTATAAATAAAATATATTATTGGGTGACAGCACACGAAAGTGACCGTCCAACGCTGCAACACCGTCCCCGTTCAACGTACAACTCCAATTATTCCGTCCAGGCTTTTATCACATGCACGCTCCATATACCACCTTATCGTGTTCCCTCTCGTTAAATTATAAGTTTAATCTCTTAAATTTTAACATCATGCCACACTAGTTAAATTATTAAACTTCTAATTTTATATCTAATCAAATTTTAAACTTGAGGTCTTTGAATAATTCTTTAATATTGTTGTCTCTACGTGATTGTAAAATTGGCTACCAACGAATTAAAATAACCTCTAATGTGCATTGGAAAGTTTTCTATTGTTGTTTTAGTGTTAATGTGACATGACAACTGATAATTTGACGTGACATGATAAAGTAGGTCCATTAAGTAAAATGAGATTGAATGGACTAAAAAATTTTGTGGGGTTTTTTAGCTGGATGGTATCCACCATAATGCCAAATCATTCTCACTCTTGTCAGTCTAATCGAAATACCACGTTTTTTAAGTAATAAATTGAAAATTAATAATAGACCGACACAACCACTAGATATGAAGAGTTAAAATTTTAATTTGTCGATATAAGGATAGTCCAATGATAAGTGATGCCTACTTTTTATTTCGAGGGTGGAGATTCTTTGAATCCCATCCTTTTTTTTAACTAAAAAAACTAAATTTTATTTAAATAAAAATAAAAAATAAACCCGGTGGTAATAAAGAGCAGCCCAAAGTGTATGTGGGCCAGAAAATGGACTGGTGGTAAATGGGCCCTCAAATGTGGGCTGGAAGGTGGCCCATGACGTGGATTTTTAGCGCCTACTGTGAGATGTGAAAGAAGCGACACAAAGATTTGTCACCTTCTGGTTTTGGCCTTTCTGTGCTGCAAATAATGCACATGCACCTCTGTTTTTTTTTTTCTCTTCATTCTTTTTCTTTCTTTTTAATAACTCTCTCTCTCCAAAATTGAAAAGAATATATTTAAATCTGAATATTTAAAAATTACTTTATTTGTATTTTAAAATAAAATGTTGTTTCAGATACCCTTCTGAATTCTCAATCGAAAAAGAGGTTGAGAATACATTCTTTAAATTTTTTGAGGATAAATTATTGGACTTGTTTTGGTAACAGTACTATTTCGTTTTGGTTGGAGATTCTTTAAACAATCTTTTTTTCTATACATTTTGGAACAAATGAAAAATGAAAAAGAAACTTGTTTTGGCGGTTGTAAAAATTTCTATACAATTTTGAAAATATTTTCAAAAAAAGAAAAATAAGAAACATAATTAGTTGCAACATAAAAATTAGAAACAAGAACATTATCATACGAGCCCTATATTATAGCTATCCTCCTAAATTCTTCTCTTTTTTACATCTAACGATATAAAACCGTCAGCTATATTGTGCCAATCCCAAATAATTTTTGATGATTGAAAATCTACTCTACTTTTTGGTAATTATAAAGGGTCAATAATAATTTTAATTACATAAAGTTCTAGACATAAGAGGGCGTAAAAAAAAAAAAAGTCAAAATAGTTAAATGAAATAGAAAAAAGAATTCAAATGGAATAATTAGAAACAAGAGTAAAATGCTATTCCCAAAAATAATTCTATGGAAATGATGGAAATTCATGTCCTTGTCCAATGATTATTATATTTGAGGTGGACCTTGCCTTGCAAGAACACAATCCACAAATTTCCCTATTGTAAAAATATACATAAAATTGTAATAATTCATTGATATTTTTTCTTTTTTATAAGTATTTGTTTGGGAGAATTATTCTTCAAGTGGATACAATTTCCTCTAATTACTTGGGAGAACCTTTATGAAACTAAAAAAATATGTAAAATATATACACACTGTGCAAAAGATGTCCAAAATTTAAAAATATTTCATTTTGGTAGGTTCTTTGGAGTGAACAATGTCATTTTCATTCTTTAATTTTTAGCATATTCCATCCTTTTTATTTATTTATTTTAGTATTATTTTTTTACCCTATCTGAGTTTTCTGGAGAAATTTCTAGTGATCTCGAACAGATTGCAACATTAGAAGATGGGTGCATTCTTCAGTACTTTACATTTAAATATTTAATTATCATTCCAACCATTTGAATAAAAAAAAGAATTTAAAGTGGCAAGCCAATGAAAATTATTTATTATTTAAAGTCTGTTTAATCATCATTTTATTATTTAAAATAATAAAATGAAATATTATCATTTTATTTCTTGTTTTCGAAAATTAAGTTAGTAAAATACTACCTCCATTTATGTATTTACAAAATCTAATCTAAATTTTGAAAGAAAAAAAAGTTATAAGAATTTTTGTTTTTGTTTTTTTAACTTAACTAAAAATCTTAAGTGCATTTTTAAAAAGTACAAACACGTATAAACAAACCAGCATAATTTTAAAAAATAGAATAATCATCAAATAGAACTCTAATATTTAATATCGTAATGATAGAGATTATAGAGAATAAGTTTCCTTACGGGATGAAATAGTGACAAAAATATCAGTATTGTGTGTTGTTCCGTCCAAACAACGAAAATCGATTATAAACCCTAATGATGATGTGATGATGTTGTAAAATATTGTAACGTGGAGAAAGGGGTACAATTCCATGTTACGTGATGTATCTTATCCCATGGCCAAAACACTATCAATTTGATAAATAATCATGTTTCCACCAATGAAAATTCCCCTCTTTCTCTCTCCCCCATCAAATCACATATTCAATACAATGATTATTGAACGTCTATATATTTAAAATTGTGTTGAAACCAGCATAACTCCGTGTTAACAGGTATTTATTATTTTCTCGAAGCTGTAAACTCTCATATTTTAAATTTATTGTACTAAAAGAAATTGTATATTTCTATAAAAACTTGTATTTCAACGCTTCGTTCGTTTTGTTAATACTTTTAAAATGTTAATTTTGATGATTGTATTTTCAAGTTCGATTTATTTTGATATGTGTATTTATACAACGTTCATTTTCGTCTATGTACTTTTAAGAAATTATTATTTGGGTCCTTATTTGCAAAAGTTTAACACAAATTCTATATACCATAGAAACTCTTTAATATAAATTTATGGACGAGACAAAAAATAAATGAAGGGATTCAAATTGTCATTTTTTAAAAGTACAATAACCAAAACAAAGACTTTAAAAGTACATGAAAAAAATGACAAAAATTTAAAATATAGAGACCAAAATGGACGTTTTGAAAGTGCCAAGAATTAATATGAAAAAAGAAGTACCAAATCAATGTTTAAACATCTTTTTAAGTATATACGAAAAGCAAGCACTCACTCGAGTAAGTTTAAGTGCTTTTCATTTAATTTTATGAGACACATCTAATCCAATCAATCTTTATTTTTTCAAGTACAACATTTAGGGGTGGAAGATCGAACTCACACCCTCTTGATTGAAAATTATGTTCATTATCACAATCTTTATTGTCAGAGAACTCTGCAAGATTTTAATAGTTTAAGTAAGATAGATCCCACAAGATTTTGAACTATCCGTAGATTAGAAACTTGTAAAATTAATTTCTTAATAGTGCATAGGGATTTTATTCACTAATATGTTAAGTCACCCAAAAAAAACTTCATATTATCAATATATTATAAAATCACGTTTATGCAATTGATATATATGAAACTCAAAAAGAGGTATAATGTCTTTAATTATTTTTTCTAAAAATGTGAAACAGGTCCAAAAAACTAGGGTTAACCGAGAATAAATGAGTTAAAATCTCATAATGGTCTCCTACTTTAGAAATTAATTTATATGCATTTTTCAGCATCAAATGTTGTAGGATTAGACGACTACCCGACCATGAGATTAGTCGAGATGCGTGCAAGCCGACTCGAACACTCATGATTTTTATTTTCTTTCTATCAATCAATTTAAGACGCGTAGGTCTAACAAGTTGTACCTCTTTATTACGTGTCATTGAAAAATTCAACAAATTTGATTTTAGGGTTAAAAGGGTCACATCACCTTTTCTTGAATTTTTTTTTTTTTTTGAANCACTATACTATATATATAACACCCAAAAAAAACTTGCCAACGTTGAATAATAGTTAAGATTTATATATATTTTTTTCTATAGATTGAAGATTCAAATTGTAAAAGCTTTCTCAATAGTTTCATGTATTAATCTAATTCCCTCATTTTATAAGAGTGAACTCACAAAAAATACTGAGGAGATGTTTTATTTCACTTTAAGAATTAGATTTTGTTTATTCTAGATTATAAATTGCTAATCTACCAGCTACCATCAAAATATATGCTACACAAATTCAAACTTTTTCAACCTAGACTTAATTAGAGTTAAACTATCAGTCAAACACCAACATGAACGTAGCTCACGAACCATCATAGATTTAGCTACGATGACATGATAATTTGGATCATAAATGTGTTCACGTCTAGCTAAGACTAATATTTATTTATCATATATATATATATATATATATATATATATATATATATATATATATATATATATATATATATATATATATCGAGTTGAGTGCACCTTATTCATTCATGGCCCCAAAGGTAAAATGGGTTTCAAAATTGGACTCTTATGAAATAAATTGGATATATATACACCAAATATTATCAATTTTGGAAGTGGTTGGATGTTCTTTTACAAGTATGGAATGAGGAGTTTACATATACACACACATACCAAAATACAAGATTTTGGAATAGGATCATTTTGGATCTGTGCTGCCCAGATGGAATAATTTGGCCATACACAAAAATGACATTAAAATAAAGATGAGATTTGAGGGTTCACATGTTAGCATGTGGGCAAAAAGATGGGTTTTTTATTTTGTTTTATTTTTATTTTCTTACCATTTTCTTGTCTCTACGAGAGTAAAATAGAGTTATAATTTTTAGAGTAATATTTAGTTGCTTATGTGTGCTGACTACCAATAAAATTTCGAGATATATTGATTGTAATCAAGGTTCCTTTTCATCCCATTTGGATTCGGTTGCTCGTTTGAAAGTTTTGGACTCTGATACTATATTATTATTCATGGGGTTCCATCTCAAAACTAATTGACAATGAGAGTAGCCCATGTCTATTACAAGCGTAAGGTCAATTTTCTTTTCAATGTGGAATCCTTAACTGATGTGGATGCTACCGTAAATGCCGTAAGCATCTATTTACCTTTGTTTGATTTGATGTATAGACAAACCCTACCCCTCCTGAAAAGCAAAGAAAAACAATGAAAAATTTCTAATCCTTTTGATAACGTTTTCATTTGTTCTGAAATCTACTTCCAGAAACGTTTTAAAAACCCTAGCCCAATTCTAAAATCTAAAAAACTAAAAACAAAAATTGAAAAAACAAAAGTTATTTTAAAAGTGAAAAAACCCTATCATATTTTGAGATCTCTCTCACACCTCCTCTCTATAAAGCTGGCAAGCAAATGGTGTAATTTGGTAGGAGTGGTCCATATGGAATATCCTTTAATTTCTATGGGCTTTTTTTTACCCATTTTCCATCACCCTTCTTCCCTTTCCCTCTCTCTCTCTCTCTCTCTCTTTACAATGACACTATTCATGTTGTGCATGAGAGAGAATGGGAGAGATCTGAGATGTGAAATTTTTGTGTTGAGGTTCTAGCCATGCTTTTCCACAGCTTTCTTGAACTTTCTTCTCTGTTTTTTTTGTGATCTTCATGTTCTCAATCATTTCTCTGAAAATCTCTCCTTGAGATTGCAAAAGGAAAAAAACCCTTTGGAAGTTCAAGAAAGCTGTGGGAGAACATGGCATTTCTAGGCCTTTTATTGGTTCCTCCTCCATTGTTTGGGAAAGTTCAGTTTGCAGACAAAAAGGTATCTCCAATTCCACTTCTTTGGTGAGTAGAATTTAGATTTTGGTTACCCTTTTGCTGAATTATTCTCTCTCTCTAGGGTTCATGTGGGAAAAATCATGTTGTTATAATTTAGAAGCTTTTATCTTGAATTGGTGCTAAGATCATTTTTCATGGGAAAATTCTCATAATTTGTCTAGAAATATTAACTTCTGTTTTCTTTAAGATCTGAGTTTTCTGAGAATTTGGATAGTGAGATGGATTTATTTTCATCAAAGAAGAGAGACCCATAAGCTCTTAAAGTGAGAGAAAATTATTACTCTTAAAGTGAGAGAAAATTATTAATATTCATAGTATTTCATCTTATAACCAATAATTGACACTAAGAGAAGTAGTCCACTTATATTATAAACCAAAATTAGGTCCTTTATGAAAATTAAATTGCCTATCGAAAGTTTGAATCCAAGTATGATTTCTTGCCTATATTGAAGAATAAGTCCATTCAATGAATTGCAACCATACATGTCTTGGTTAAATTTTCATCTAACAAGTTAAATTTCGACACTGATTTTCAGACGAGAAGTTTGGTTCTGACCAAGATTAAGCTATACCGACCCGCAAATACGCTCTTGACAAGCATAGAAGAGAGATTCGAATGCATCAAATTGAGAATTTTTTCTTTTTCAAATTTGGTTGGAGGTTTTTTTTGTTTGAAAAAAAAAAGATGAAGCATTTTATTGAATGAGAATGGTGGGTTTGAGAGAAGATTCCTCACCTTTCCTTTTTATCATCAATGATGAATTCATTTCATTTTTCTTCATTAATCCCTATTGGCTCTTTTTGTTTTTTTGGTTTCCCATCTCCTACAATTCTGTGAAAAACGTTAAATTTTGTCCCTTTCTTACATCATTTTTTTAACCACTCCCTGTCTTTCTGACTTCATCTCTCTCCTCTCTCTCTCTCTTGTACAAATCAAAGCCTTAAATGCTACAAAAGAAAAAGAAAAAGAACATGTCACTGTCTCTGATTCTGCATTTATGACCTGTTTGTGTGCGCTTTAAGTAAATAATTCCAAGCTTTGTATTGCAGAGAGAATGTAAAATGGAAGACAGCAGCATTTATTTATGTTAGCTTTTGGAGAACTCAAACTTGGGTGTGTTGGATTGGATGTAGGTTTTATTATGTTCTTTCTTTGGAATAACCCATAATGATTATCAAAAAGTTTAGATCATGAGATCATCATTCACAACACATCTAATTATTGTGTGCTTTGATTTAGTAGATCTTCATCAAAGTTGTAAAAGGTCTGTTTCATATGTTTTGGGACGGGGAAAAATCGATTTTTACCTTAAACTTTTGACGGGGTGTATGAATTTTAACCCAAACTCTTGATTTCATCGATTCAAAATCTTAGATTCTTAAAAAAAAACAGGAGGCTTTCAAGAAAAACACTCCAATCGAGAGAAATGGTAACAATATCATAATTACAAAAATTGGGGAATATATATATATATATATTTTATATCGGTGAGTGTTCGGGCCAGCTACGCGCATCTCGAATAATCTCACGGGACAACCGCCTCACCCTAAAGTTGGGGAATTTTGAAGACCAAAGAGATGCGCAGATCTTTATATCATCCCAAAGACTGAACAGCGATTGTTGCACTCTAGCCAAATGTTCCATAAAATAGCACCAATATCATTGCTTGATAATACATGGCGTTGCCGTGTTAGTGGGGAAGAGAGACTCTCACATACGAAGTGATAAAAATTTAGAAAAATGCTGATGCTAGAGATGTATTTTTGTTGAAATTTGTGAGTTTTTGAAAGTTTATTCAAAATTAGATTTTGTTTCTTCATAGAAGTTAGTGAGTTTCAGGAGGTTTTTATTTTTCTAATTTTTTTGTGTGTTAAAAGCATAAGAGGACGATGAATGTAGCGCAGAAATGGAACTTAAAGGTAAAGATTGTAACACTTTAAATTTAAAGTTTAATGCGATGGAATTGAAAATTCATGATGAAAATTGATACACACGGTCAGTTTAGAGATAATTAATTGATTTTTTTTCCTTTTATTTATGAAAACAGTTGTGTTTGTTCGAGTGGTAAACTAAACTAATACAGGTTTGTTGTCTCTAATTATAAATATATGCTTCCCAAGCTTATCAATACTTCAAACTTGCAATTGTATTTTGTTTATTTGTATCTTGTGAACTACTTTAAGTTTTAATTTAATTATAATACAAATTTGTTGTCTTTAATTTAATTTAAAACTTTGTGCCAAAGCGAGCATAGCTCAACGATAATTGGATCCTTCCCCTAGAGTTCTTGTAATAATTATTGAGTAATAAAAGTTCCATGTTACGAGTAAAAGATAAAGAAATGACATCTCTCTTTATTGGATTCTTTAGCTTTTTGGTATCTTATTTTGGCCTATTTTGATGATATTTCCTCACATTCGAAAGGATCAAACATTTTACTATTTATAAAATGGAAAGAAATGATCAAACATTTTATGCGTGATCGAATATATATGAAAAATAATATGTTATTATGAAACAAGGTTTTTAAAGGTTATTATTTTGGGAGCTTGGCTTTACCCAAAAAAAAAAAAAAAAAAAAAAAAACTTCCAAAAGCCATTTTAAAGAAATTTAGTTAGATGACATATAAATAAGGTTTATCGTATCAATTATTTACCTAGAAACAATTTCTATTAATAAGGGTTATCTGGTCGGAACAATATATAATTTAAAAAAAAAAACGAGATTTCTAAAATATAGTCCGTTTTATTATGGAGTTTCATCTCAAAACCAATTGGATGCAAAGTAACCCACTTATATTATAAACTCTTGTTGGGTCCCTTATTGCGTGAGATCCTTAGCATAGCGAAGATGGGTAAAAAAAAAAGAATTAACTTCATATGGTACCATAGGCAAAATTTAGAAAAAGTCCCATCTTTCCATCACTTTATGCTAGGTAAATAATTCTCTCCACATGGACAACCTAATTGGTAAAAAGCCAGTTGGTGCAAGTCAAAGTTCAAATTTCTCCACTCCCAATTATTTTTATATGAAAAAAAAAACTAGGTACTATTTGAGGGGAGGAATTAATTAATAGACTGTGCCATAAAATTTTGAAAAAGAAAAATGAATAATAATAGAGAGACCTTAGGCAAATGTAACACAAAATTTAATGTGATGAAAAGTTAGGTGCACCAGACATATATATAAAAGTTTGAAGAAGATATATGATGAACATATACTGAAGAGAGAGAGGGAAAAAATTCATTACCATATGCTTCATGTTGAAGCTTTTGGGACATTTTTGGGTCTCTTTTTTTCACTCTTTAAATTATTCCAACTATGGGTTTTTATTAATTTCTCTCTCTCTCTCTCTCTTAACTTTTAATTTTTTTTTTTTTTTTTGAAATTAAGTGGTAGGTAGAGAGACAAACTTTTGGAGAATAATGGCTTACTTTTCAAATAATTGTGTAGTACCCTAAGATGGATGGGCAATCAGAGTGGGGCTTAGCTCACAAAAACAAGACAACATATAAAAGATAAATTAATATATCCTTTCCTCTCCAATGGGTGGGAAGGCTTAACTTTTTGTGGTCAAAATACAATTTTTTTTTTCAAGGAAGGGTAAGAGAGGGAAAACAATATTTTAGGGTTTCCTTGAAAATCCCTTAAAAAGCAAAGAATGGAGTCTTCCATTCATTCTAGAGAGAGGGAAGAGATCCAAGTGTTGTTTGGCTTAGAGACTTTATTAAACTCAATATTTAAAGCTAGACCAAGATCATATGTAACTTTTACTTCCTTTAAATATAACACTAGTAATCAAATTCCAATAGTTTTGTGAAGTTGAGATTCATTTTGAGGTGTAATGTTATATGAGCTATTCTTTGGAACATCTGATTGGAGCGAAACAACCGCACCTTAAATTCTCATACATCTCAAGGACGGTTGCTGCACTTTAGTAGTTTTTGTTATCCAATCTGTTTTGTAATTATGATATTGCTACCATTTCTTTTAGTTGGATTGTCTTTATCCGATCAACCTCTTTTTGTTTTATATGTTTCTCACATGCTCGTTAATGAAATGATATCTCTTTTCTAATATTTCAGCAAAATCTCATATTATACCTTTAGAAAACCTATGGTTATTTCTTCATTGAAGGAATTTTATTAGAGAGGGGGCGTTCTAAAAATTCTAAGGGAAAGAAAAATGCAAAATCTTAAGTATTTTATATATACTTCTCAAATATTTGAGTTAAAGACGAACTAATGAGAGGGCATGCAGTTACTAGCTCCCTCTCATTCCTTCATCACCCCGCTCTAAAGTAGGGTACTTGAACATTAATTATATTGAATCGTGACGTTTTTGACAAAAGAGTAAATCGACGAAAATGTTACTACATGTACAAAATGCATATAATCCAAGCAATCAAGAGACAAAATGGTGCAAGTTGGACAACCAAGCCCTCACTCTAACTGTGAAAAAAATCCCTTGTTGCTTCTCTAATAGTACTTCTCACCCATGTGTTGGACTGAAACAATTGCATGGTCAAGTCGCTATTGGTACTTGAATTTTTACATACAAAACTCTCTCTTGTTTTTTGTCACACACACAAAATTTATATATATATGTGTGTGTGTAATACCCTCTGTGTCTTCATTGATCATCTGATGTGAAAGTTGGGAAATTTGTTGGCCAAACTGTTGTTGGTACTAAAAGTAAGAGAGAAGAATAATAATTGTTCTTACCCAAACTGACCCTTCTCACTGCAACCCTACAAAGATATGTAATCATCAACTCAATTTCACACTTGTTTTTGTTTGAAATTGTGTGTAATTTTTGTGGTATTTTTTTGAATTGGGAGGGTGAGAAGGAGAGCCGTTCATATTTACTTTTATACCTATTTCGTTTCAGTCGTCTATGTTTTCATCCTTATTAAAGCTCCCATGAAAAAAAGTCTTTTCAATCCCGATCGTTGATTTTTCTCCTTGTTCATTTAAGCAAGAGTTTAAATTTGTAAGGAAATTAAACTCGATGTTAAGGATCCCACGTTGAAATGATAAAGAACGACCTAGAGTTTATAATAGACATGAACTACTAATCTTATTGTAAATTGATTTTGAGATGAAACCCATGAATATTAATATGGTATAGTAGCCAAAAAGCTCAAGCGATGATCTGATCTAAAAATGGGATCCTGTCAAGATCGATGAAAAAAAAGAGTCACGATATTAAGGTGGCATATTAAGATTCCACGTTGAAAAAAGAAAGGACCTAGAGTTTATAATAGGTATGATCTACTTTTCTGTTTGCCGGTTTTAATATGAAACTGGCTTGAAGAATTTTGTTTGGTAGATTTTTATTGTATGTGATTTGGTGTGAAAAAATGGAAGGAAATAGAAGATTCTCTCCCAAGAGAGAAACAACCTTCGACGCAAATTAAAACAGTTTCCTAATTTCCTTCCTTCCTTTATTTACTCCTTTTGGGAGCTTTGAGATCACTGCCTAACATCTTGGCTCTTCAATTTGACTCTTTTGGATGAACAATCATTAAAAAAAAAAAAGTAAGATAAGAAAGATTGATTTGACATCAAATATGAAGAATTTTACTTATTATGTTTGACGCCTAGAATAAAAAGTGATATAAAGAATGATTTTATTTTGATCGAGAACTATTAATATGAATATATCTTAGTTTCTAAAATATATATATATATATATATATATATATATTTATATAAGAGCGATACACCGTTCATTCAAAAAGTATGTGAGAAACATACAGGGAGATTAAGATAAAATACTCCAATTCAAAGAGGATGAAAATTATGTCATAATTACAAAAGAAAGTTGATTTCATGGATCAAGAAGAGGCAACTGTTTTTATGTCCTCCCACATATTTGCTATTAATTAAGGATGAATAAATCATCACAATTACGACAGTGCATGGGTTCAAACATAAAACCTCATGCTCTGATAATATGTTAAAGATCAATAAACCACTACTCAACTCAAAAGCTTAAGTTGATTGGATAAGTTTAATTCATTTATGAGTATCTCAACATTTGCCATTGTTCTAGAAATGTCTGTGAATAGACAATTATTTCTTTCCAGCTAAATATACCACCAAAGGATCGAGCAAAAATCATTACACCAAAGATATTTAATAACCAATTTTCTCCTTCTATTGCACGATCCAATCTTTTGCCTTTTTTTTTCATTTCTTAAAAAAA